GTAAACAGTCAAAGGGGTTCTTGTACTGCATTGTTTATGACTCTAAAACTATGGTGGGTTTTCATGGAAAGGGAAACTCATGGCAAAATGTCTTTGCAATATGCACTCAGCGCTCTGGCAAGTCTCAACATCAAATTCGGTTTCGAATGAAGCCTGACGAACCCGTTTTTAATCCATCTCAGATTTATACCGCCCCCTGCTGTCAACTATAAATTGCCATCCAAGCACCCTCGGGCTCGCATTGCCAATGTCACCTGACCAAATTGTGGGGAACTCGCAACAATTTGTGTCCAGTGGCAGTTACGTTGAGGAGTTTTAATCGTTTTACATTTTGCATTATAGTTAGTTTTTATTCTGTTTTGACATTTTTAAAAAGATATTCGGATAGTTTTAATTAGTTTGTAGAATAGTTTTTTTTTTTTTTTGTACTTTTCAAAAATGCTTTGTGTTTTTTTTTTGTTTGTGTGTATGTGTGAGCAGGTATATTTTTAAAACATAAGATGTAATTTCAGTTTGTTTGGAGTTAAAAAAAAAACATTTCATTAAAGAAAAAAAGTTGCAATTTTGATTTATTTTGTTGTCATTAACTAGAATAACCTTGCTAATAATGCATGCACTTTACCTCAGCGAATTGGCTCAAATGATATTTCTTTTGGAAAACATTCTAATGAGCCGTTCCCTGGAAGGTCATTTAGAGGCCAAGCACATTTAGGAGTCGGTAGTCTCTCTGGCATCGTTGTAACGATGAGGCCACTTGGGTGGTTGGGGAAGGCCTGAGTGCAAAAGTGTTACTCTTGAGTGCGGGGGCTTTCGTCGACTCGAATGTCCTTCTGAAATGAAAACATGAGTCACAGTGACCTGGCGTCACGATGACTCAGGAATCGCACGGGCTCACGAGTACCGCTGCTCGTAAAACTTACTGTCACACGGCCTCTGCCTAGAAATGTACCAAAAATATACAGTCGAGTAATTCCTTGACATAACTTCCTTTTGGGTCCCTTCTCTCACTAGCAACTCAGTCATATCTCAAATCATCTTTCCCCATGATGAGAAAAAAAAAACAGACATGTGACTGCACTCTACTGGAGGCTCAGCTCCTTTCTCGGCTTCTCAGTACGTCAGTGATTTTTGTTGTTCATCGCAGAGGATAACAAAACAAAAATGCCTATGAGTATTGTGATATGATCTGTCTACTTGTGTTGCGGATGCTAATTGTTACCCCTTGTGCCGACGAGCTTTCCCAGTGTGAGAGAAAGTTCCCGAGTCAACTAATTGGGAGGTCCTCCAGCGTTGCTGTCAGGTTCCACTGTAAATAGAATCAGGCGCCGAGACCTTTGAACTTTTCACTCACTTGGAAGGTTTATGACCCCCAAGTTGCTCAATAAGCATCTGAGTCCAATCTGGCCTGAAAAAGAAAATCCTTCCTGGTCTTTATCCAACGAGTTGAACCAAAACATTTTGCCGTCCTGTCCTTTTTTGTCTCTCTCAAATTGAAGTAGGCAGTGGGGAAAAAAAAGAAAAAGGAAACCTGTTGTGACTCACAGGGAATGTTGGGGAATCACAAGCAAATAAAAATAGTGTCAACACTGTGGGAGGTGGCACTTTGCACATCTGCTCTGCGGATGTCGCAACCACACACACACACATACACGCGCGCCATTTTGCCGCTCAACTTGAACAAAACATGGCCGTCATACACTGACATTTAATGCAAATTAGTGCCTATCATCGAGCTGTCGCAAGATGGTGATTGGTGATGCCAGTAACGCGTCACTCTAATATATGAACACTTCTTCGCGGGGGGGGGGGGGGGGGGGGGGGGGGGGAGTAACAAGTAATATTAACATGTTCCTATTTCCAGAGTGATAATCGGATTTAAATGATCTATCAATGCGTTACGGCCAATCCATTTCCAGTTTATCTGACGTTGTGGAAGTGACGCTGCATAAGCGTCCGCCTCTCCTTCGCGGTTTGTTACAGAACATTCATGTTTGTGTTGGCCCTGCGGCATCCCATAATACTTTTTGTCAGCCCCCCACCCGCCGCTCCCGCCACGGGGCAGATGCCGCTTCCGACCGAGAGCGGATCATGGGCGGCCATCAGTGCAAGCCAGCACAATGGAGCGTCCATCGGATGAACTGAGATCCCGGGAGAGTTATGATAGCTGAGGCAGGACCCGCCGTGTCGGCGTGAGCGTGATAATGTGCGTGCAAGGGAGGGGGGGCACAGACACACACAGACACTTGTGTCATCCCTTCATCACGCCTCTCCTCTGCCCCACACATGCAGTTATGCTCGCAAGTTTACAGACAATCGTCATGGACATAAATAATATCCCGTAATCCAACCCCCTCCCGCGGCCCTCCATTGCTCGAAATAGCCGATTGAAGTCCTCCCCACGCATATTTTGGGAGCATTTACGGCACTTCATTTTTAAAAGGGACCATATCGCACGATTTTTAACCTATCTGCAGTTAACTCAAGGCGCAGATATGATTAGATATTATGCTCGGCGCAATTCCGAGCACATTATTTTGATGAAATAGGATTTGTTTTTGTGTCTATATTTCAAACCAGGAAGTAAGATGCTTTGTTCACTAAAACCCCGCCTCTCTCTGCCGCGCCACTTTCATCGTCACCAAGCTGGTTGCTTCACGAAACGCTAACAAGCATTTTTTTTATCACGAGAGAGACTCGTGCCGCTTGTCCGTTTGTCCCACTCTGCACTCACTGTGTGTTTTCATCTGCTGAGGCGGTGCAGGGATGGTTCCTCGCTTTGTAGAAAGGTGAGGAAAGTCGAATTCTTGGACTGGGCGGAGCTCTTGCTTTGAGAGGAGGAATGAGCTGGAATCATGCTCAGAGATCGCTGACTGGAAGAAACCACCACTTTCCCCAAACTAATCAACTTATCTGACAATATACATCAATAATCAGGCCACAAGATGCGTATTATAAAATGGAGCGACACACATTGCTTTCTGTAGGCACAAAAAGCAGGACTGAAGAGGATCTGACATCCAGGACAGACCACGTAAGATGACTCGAAAGCACGTATTCTTTATCCGCTGCAAAAAAAAAAAAAAAACATCTGCGGCTAACTGAGTCACTTGCAGTAGCTGAGCTCAACTCTTTTTTGTTTGTTCAACTGTTGTACTGCCCCCGGTGGCCTCGATGTTCACACCAGAAGCAGCTGCAATGAATTTGAAGGGAAAAAAAAAGATGAAATTGTACTCCTCCATTTTCTGTAGTGTTTCACGTCCTCACTGGTGTGCTGAAGCCCATCCCAGCTGTCTCTGGGTGAGAGGCGGTATAAAACCGTAACTGGTCGACAGTGAATCACAGTAATGCAATTTTAATTTAATTATGTTTTTGGAAAAAATCTTCTTCTTCTTCCCCTTTCGGCACGTCCCTATTCAGGGGTCGCCACAGCGAGTCAGTAATTTCCATCCGCCCCTGTAAACCGTCCTACCAACTCGCATGGTCGTCTTGGCAAAAGTTTTACGCCGGATGCCATTCCTGACGCAACCCTCCCCAATTCTCCGGGCTTGGGACCGGCACTGGGGAACAGTGCACCCCCAGGGGAGGGCACTGCCCCCCAGCGGCTGGGTTATGTTTTTGGAAAAAATAAATAAATAAAATACATTCGAGTTAATCATTCTATCACTACATGATTTCCTAAAGCTCAATAATACAGAGAAGTGATTCTCCAAGAGTGGCATGGGTACTACTTACTTGTCGAGCGTGGACTCCCTCTAGTGGTCTGCGTATCACTTGCCAAGTACGGTTCAGTTATATTTAACTTTGAATTGTACTTGGAGAGCCAATGGGCAAAGGTGATATTAAAATGTTTTGACTTACAGGCGTGGTCGTGGCGTGACTTGAACTCGTATCGCAAGATCCGCATCCCGCATACTGTACATGCGTTGTCGTCTTGTGGCGGTGTTGACGTGTGTAGAGTGTCCATTTTGAATTCGAGGCGGTCGGCCAAGTTGACTCGATTACTGGTTGGTGCGGATGATTTAGTGCCGCTGCTGGTGCGTCTTTGCTAGCATCCAAAGATGATTTATTCGACAGCACTTGGATCGACAGTGCTCAGGAAAATGGGCAAGTTTCCAAGCACCTCAGTCAAGATTTAGGAAGTGGAATTGTTGGCCCAAGCTGGGAAATGTTTTGCACACAACTAAATTCTCATGGTCAGTTCTTACTGTTTGAAGTATTTAGGAGTCATCGCCTGGAAGAAGACCCAAACTGTCAATCTCAGTGGGAAGGACATCGGTCCAAATTCTTTGCATCAGCCCAGCACATCAGTAAAGAACCAGCTACAAATATGTTTCTTCATCTATCTATGCTAGCGACTTATAGTGTCAGGCAGAAAGACTAAAAACTACTGAATGTCCATTTTTTTTTCAGACTGAAGCATCGGGTGACTGATATCGGCAACTTCCACGAGAACCTGCCAATAATAATACAATTGCAATTCATAATTTAGTAATTTAATATTTACGAATGAAGGATTAGGTTCAGTATTTTTTTTCTTTCTGAAACGTGAACTATAAATGATAATGCATGCAGGGTTGGCTCTACACTGGAGCAATAGGGGGGGGCTCTAGCCCCACCAGAAATCAGTGTATCCCCAGTTAAAACCAAGCAGCATTTTATTTAATTTTGGAAAGTATTTGGATCAATTGTTTTTTCAGCCCCCCATGTATTGGTCAAGCACCCCTTTAGCCGCAGGAGAAAGAAAAAAAATATGCTGGATCCGTCCTTGAACGCATGGGAAAATCCGTCTTGCGCAAAGCTTAAAAACAATCGCAAAAACCTGATGTGGAAGGAAAAAAAAAAGTTTAGCGTCAAGAATAAGTATGGCGAAAATGTGTTGTTGACCATCCAGTGTAATGAACACGCGCGCCAGAAAGGGAAAAAATGTTCGTGAGAGAAGGAGAAGTTTTTAGGAAAGGTGTAGGGAGGGCGGGTGAAGTGGTCCGGTCGAATGTGTGCGTTCGGCTGCAGGGGGGGGACGGGAGACCTTCCCACTTTGCACGTTGGCGGGCGAGCAGGCAGGCAGAGCAGTGACAGGAGGAAAGGGGACACGCGCGCACGCAAGAGGAAAAGAGAGTGAAGAGGCAACGACAACAAGTTGGACACTTGACGCATTGTTTGCTTGCTCCCCACCGCCACCACCGCTCCTCACACGCACCAATAATCGATCCCCAAACTGGACTGATCGTCGCTATCGGAGTCGGTGGAGCATGCGGCTCGCTTCTGTCTTCAGGTACGCAAACTTAACTCACTCGGAACGCCGTGCAGGATTCTTCCCATAAACTTTTGGGGCGCTGCCTTTTGCGCACACTTTCTTTTTTTTTTTGGGAGGGGGGGGGGGGGGGGTAATGTGCTTGCGCTTGGATTGCCGTTAAAATGGACGCCGTCGAAGTTGCCAGCGAGATGGTTGGAACAATGTGTCACAGAAACGCCGAGCTCGTCGCGGGAGGTCTTTACTTCGGCCTCGGTGGCTCTCTTGTGCCGCGGACCCTTTTGTCAATCGCTCGATGTGCGTGCGTGTGTCTTTTTTTTGGGGGGGCGGGGGGGGGGGGGCACCAGCTCGAGTCTTTCTTTTCCAACTCGTGCAGCATTTGAAAGATCAACAGTAATTTGAATCTTTGCCATTTTTAAAGGGGTTTTTTTTTTTTTTTTTTTTTTGGAGCTCGTAGAAAGAAGACAGAAGTTCTTGAATGGGACTGAGGCGTTTAGTGGCATGTCACCACTCGGCTGGGATGTTTGCCACACTTGCTTGTCCCGCACTGTTTAGCAGCTCGTCTCTGTCCGGGAATCTTTTTCAAAATAATTGTTGAACAGGCCAAATGAGATGAAATCGAGGTCGAGCTGCACTCTGCGTGCTTTGCAAGTGACGGAAAGGCCCCAAAAATAAGACACACGATTCAAAGTGCCAAAAACCACGTTGCGGTAGCAAGAAGTCAATCAAGAAAGTGGAGGAGGCCAAATTGGCTCAAGGGCAGGTCAACTGCTTGGAAGGAGACACAAAACCTGCCACCCCAAAAAAGGACATTTTGACGACGTTTGAAAACGTCAAACCACTTTCATGCAACATGATATCAACCTTCAAATAAACTCACTTTTGAAGTCAAGCCCCAACGAAATAAAGTGCCGCCTTGACTTATGACTCAAGTGGCTCCCATTTTCCCAAAATGAACTTAACTCAGTTCTAGGAGGCTTTTTCCTGACTTTTTTTCAGTTTTGTGCTAACCCTGACTGCCATTTGGAACTCTTCCTATTTTGCTCCACCTTGCCGGGGGCCCCTGCTCATGATGTTGTCGCTACCACGCACCTGACTTTTTTTCAGTTTTGTGCTAACCCTGACTGCTATTCGGAACTCTTCCTATTTTGCTCCACCTTGCCGGGGGGCCCCTGCTCATGATGCTGTCGCTACCACGCATCATTGAAGTTTTGGTGGTGTTTTGATGATGCCAAAATTTGAACGTTGCCTTGATGGGCCCGGAACAGCTTGTGTCAATGTGTTTGGGAGATTTCAAGTGTGTTTGAAGATGTAGTTGGGCTTGGATGTTTTTTTTTTTTTTTTTGTAAGATGAGGCTTCCGTCTTGCCACCTTACAACGTAGCCTGAAATTGTCACACATATTTTCCGGAAATTCCCGCAGTTCTTTCGATGTTGCTTTGGGCCTCCTGACAGCCTCCCTGGACAGTTTTTGTTTTGGAGTGATGGCCAGTTTTTTTGTATTGTTGCATTTGTTGAAACTCATTTTGCAAGTTCAGTCTTTCAGAGACAGCGGGTACGACAGTGGACAGCCTGTCATGTTATCACGTTACAGATTATCAGTATTGGTGAAAAAAAAAATGTCACTATTCTTGTCCACAAAAGTAAATAAATTCCAACCTGCTTCAGCAATGACCAAAAGCATTAAAAAAAAAAATCCCTTCCAAACCAAAAAAAAAAACAAAAAACCCACAGCCAGCAATCAAGTCCACCACGGTTCGAGCAAAGTGAAATCAAACTCTTGCATCGATTGCTTTGCCCTCAGTTGCGGGCCGCTACGCTTCAGAAATGTCAAAACTCCCCATCAAATGCAATTCTCCAACGTAAGCCGCTTTGTTTCTCCGGCAAACCGCGAATAAAAGAAGCTTGACAGCGCGGGGTGAAGTTAAGCCGTTTGACCGATTGTGCAAGCCAGTGCGCGCGCGTGCGTGTGTGCGCGCGTAGCACATCCACAGGCTGTATAGTGTTGCTTAGAAAGGCATGCGAAGGGAAAACATGCTTGCTGTTTAAAGCCATTCGTTTGTTAGCACCTCGCAGGATTTTTCCCACACGGATGTTAATGATGTTTATGTGCGGATGGAAAATCAACTCGGGTTCAGCCCGCACGCCACCTGCGTCGGGCCATCATGACTAAAAACGAAAAACATTGACGTCACCGTCATCCCATCAAGAGTCCTGTCAGCCAATTTCTTTTCTTTTCTTTTTTTTTTTTTCTTAAAGCTTCCGCTTCTGCTCTTCTTCCCCTTGCAGGCTGTTTGCGCTGTGGGCTTTTGTAGAGGTCGCGACCTCTGTGACCAAGCCGGCCAAGAGGAAGGTGAGTCATGAGCTCCTCACACACTGCTTTCATTGACTTCTTTCTGGCGAGGTGAAAGGTGAAGCCATCAAACCGGTTGCTTCACACTTGTTTCGCCATCCCATAACGGTCAAACCAGGGGCTTGAAGGCCGCGCACGCCCGTCGGTTTGACCCCAAGTCACTGCGGCGGAAAAACGGTGACCCCTGGCGTTCTTGCCGTGAAAGAACTTTTTGAGGCGCTTCACATTTGTTTTGAATCACACTCAACTTGGCCAAATTGTCAACGAAGAAGCAAATCGCCGTCTTATAATAGCGGAGGGAAAGAAAACGAGACTTTTTGGCTCCAGTCATCGACTGCAGTCGTGCATTTTGGCAACAGAGACTCTCCGCGCTTTGCTTTTTCGACCGCAGCTACGTGTGAAATTATAAAAGTGTTATTGCAAAATGACTGTACGTCTCGGGTGTGAATTCAAACTTGTCATGTCGTGATATATCACTGCCTGCAATATTCATTACTTCCCACTTTGCAATGACCTGTCAAATGTTGAAATCTGACATAATTGGAACATAACTTGGATCCTTTGCTAACTGGAGCGTCCTGTCCTGTTCATTTGTCACACGTGACCCTGCAGCAACCAGGAAGTGGCCCACTAACAAACAATTGACAAGCCCAAAAATGGCGCTCCGCTTTTGTTTGAGTGCTCGGATTTTGGCATGGAAGTCTCGATAAATCTGTTCCGTCTTGGCCCAGAATTTCCATTCCTTTGGAATCCCACTGATGCCAAACATTGTGGATGTGATCCAGTTTCATTCCAGAGGACATTGCAGTTTTTAGCCTCACGTCACCAACAAATGTTTGAGCAACACATGCAGACAGATAATATAACAATACTCGTGTGCATATCTTCTTTGTCCTCGGCAAAGAATGACCAATATGAGAAGTTGTGACGTGTCCTGGCGCCATTGACTATATTTGTATTATACTGCCCCCTACATGGCCAAGGCATGCACAACACGAGGAGCAGCATAATGACCATTGAATTGACGCAAAAAGTCTGACAACAATATTTCATTCTATTTATTATGTCATGACTTTTTTTTTTTTTGAAGATAATAAACGATATTTCACAGTGCTGATTTTTCCTCATGAAAATCCTCCTTTCAAAAATGTTTATTCTTTTTTTTGGTAATGGGGATAAACCGGTTTATTCTTTTTTTTTGGTAATGAGGATAAACTGAAACGGATTAATGATATTGTCACATATTTCAATGGAGAAAGACGACTTGAGATGTGATTAATACATTATTAGAGGTGTAACAATTGTAGCAATTGCCTACTAATTGATTATCACAAGAATCGATCATTTTTTTTGAGAAACAATGAGTGGTTTTCATACTTAAAAAAATATAATTAATTGTCCAAATGGTCAAAATGTCATCATCTTTTTTTGTTGAAACCTCAGCTCGGACATTTTAGTTGTCTTTGTTGGGTCACTTTGAAGTCTGGCCCTTCACGAAGTGTATCGCCGCCGTCGCCGCCGCCCCGAGCGACCCGCCCACGCAAGCCAGCTCGTGATTTAGCCGACCGTGTGTGACTTTGTGAGTCATTAATCCGTTTTTTCCTATAGTGGGGCCCGTAGATGTCAAGGAGCCACAGTAACGCCTTTGTGATCATTGGGTTAAAAGAAAAAAAAAAAAAAAGTTGAGTGGTGGGCTGCAGGTCTGGCGGTACAGGGTTGGAGGAGTCGGAGCAGTAGCAAGTAGCAGGAGGTCACTGCCGCCCTCCTTCAGGGTCACCGCGCACTCCTCATTAATGCTCCAGCTATGTGGCAGCTGTGTGTTTGATGTCACTCATTGACACACACACACGCACACACAGTCATTAGGCCTGTCCGCTTTGACCCCCCGCCTCCCCTTCCATGCCCCTCCTAACTCATTTCTCCTGCTCCTTTCGCTCTCCTTGTCCTCCCTCCCGCCATTTTACCTCGGACCTGTCATTTGCATTCCAGCATGTCTTGACTTTAACGCTATGGAACAGGCTTGGGCGCTAGCGAGCACATTTGACCAACCACACCGTCGCCCCCTCCCGCCCCCGCCGCCGCTCCCTAAGTGTGTCGTTCGGCCCTCGGAGTTTTCGGCAAAGCGCACGCGTGTGCAACGTGTTTACACGCACATATTGACACACTTGACAGGCTTTGAGCGAGCAGCGAGGTGGAGCATTCCCAATTTACTGAATGGAAACTTTTGTCCGCTCATTTTTTTTTTTTTTTTTTGCTGTTGTGCCAAGCAGGCCAGCGAGCGACTTGTTACTAAATGTCTTTTATCATTTGACGCCACAGAAGAAAGAGAGCAAAGGCCGGACGGTCTTTGCTCGCTCCCGACACGTCATAACACACGACGCGCACCCGCACTCGCACACCCACACACCCGCGCTTGCCTCCCGCCGTCCATCTGCTGTCAAGCTGCGTGCTTGGCAGGTGACTCAATCCCCTCCGATTGAGGATTTACATTTTGGCGTGAGAAGGAAGGAAACTCGTGAGCCTTGAGGATCATGCCCGGACAAAAGTATTGGGACAGCTGGCCTCTTGCCCTCCTAACCACTTCCACACGTCTGGAAAGATTTGGAAATTTCTCCTTCTGGTAGTTTTTGATCGGGCGCTTTCACACTAAACGCATCCAAGTGAATGATCTTAGGGCTGCGACTTGTTGAAAATAATTCGCTCGGGCACAGCAAAGATGACTTTGTGCGTGCGAAAATATGCGCTACCGCCAGAGGACTTGCTCCAATCGCGCAACGAGTGTCGACAGTGGAATTCCGGCGTTTTGGAAAAGTCTTGGGCCAACGCTAGCTTTTGTTAGCAGAATGACGACGTTGCAAAAATGATTTCTAACAGGCCAAGGAAGAAAAGCCTTAGGGTGCAAACACAGGAATTGATTGAATTATCGCTATGGCTTCAGTGGCTCCGCCCACATTCCAAAATCTTGAAAGTCGGATCTCTTGAAGACTCAATTGTCCATCGGGGTTAATGCGAGTACAAAAAGTTGTTTGCTTGTTGTTGATTCACAATAATGTTTCATTGAGACGTCTCAATTCCTCTCGGCTCATCAGTACGGCACTTAAATTAATTCACCGTGCCACTTGGATGTCAAGGCATCCTTTTATGCACCCTGTGATTGGCTGGTGACCACTCCAGGGTGTATCCTGCTTCTCGCCCTCACAAAGCTGCAAGAAGTGAAAATGTTTTGTGTGTGTGTGTGTGTGTGTGTGTGTGTGTGTGTGTGTGTGTGTGTGTGTGTGTGTGTGTGTGCGTTAGGTACCCGGACGGAGGTCTAGGCAAGTGTTAGAGGCGGAGCCTGTGGAAGGGGTGTGGTCTGTGTGGGCGGAGTGGTCCTCTTGCTCCCAGTCATGCGGAGTGGGTGTGTCGCAGAGAAGCAGGAAGTGTCTGCCGCCTCCGCCCAGCCCGCCCTCCGTCTCCTACCCGTCACCCAACTGGGGCGGGTATCTCCCGGGCGGTGGTGGCGGGCATCCCTTCCACCCTTCCCGTCAACTTCCGCCCCATCACCGGGCACCCGATCCCAACCAGGGGCTGTCGCTTTACCGGAATACCCCGCCAGGAAGCGACCATCCGGCGGGAACTTTCTACCAAGCGGAGTACCCCGCCACCGGTGGGAACCGAGTGTCCGTGTACCGGCCGCCTTACCGCGCGGCCTCGCGTGCCTACGAGCAACAGCAGCAGCGCAGCGTGAGGAGGCCCGGCGGCCCCACGGCGCTGCGGGCGGGCGCAGGAGGCGGCAGGAGGTCGGTCGGCGCCGCTCGGGAGGGTTTTCCTGTCCGGAGGTGAGTCGACACTTTTTTTTTGCTTTTTTTGGGGTGGTGGGAGTGCTTTCCAGACCAGGACAAACGCGTACTAGACTTAATGCGAAATCTGACCTTTGCGAGGTTGTCTGCAAAGTGACTTGCAGGAAATAAAATTAACATGGCTTGCATAAGGCATCAGGCTGGGAGGACGGAATTTATCATCTTCCTGTCTGACTTAGACTTAATGTCTTTCAAAACGAGCAACGGGGCACTCGGGAAAAGTGTTTGAAGACTCGCTCAGTGTATAAACACTGTGACCATGATGATTTTGTAACTGCGGTCAAAAACTAAACATTATAAAGACCTGCTTGGACTTTATTTTTGGCATTACGGAGCGTTTGTTACGTTCTGAGTCATTAAAGCATTGAAAGTTAAACCGATGCCCTGCTCAGACATTGAATTATGTTACAACTGTGTTATTACTTTATTACTTGGGGATGTGAGTCAAGTCAGACTTCAGGTTCCAGTTTTTCTTCATCTTCTTTTATTGCTAGTGCTGCACTACTATTAGTGATCTCGCTAATATTGGAAACTTTTCTTAGAGGATAAAGAATGGCTGCATGTGTTATTCCACCATTTATAACAAAAGTTTGGAAAATCAAGACAATGACGCTGACGTTAGCTCCATCACTTCATTTTTGGGATGTGGATATTCTTGTGTGCATCTTGTAGGTCTTCAGCCATCCGTCCGGGTCAGTTTGGCTACGGGAAAGTCCCCTTCTCCTTGCCGTTGCACCGACCTAGTCGCCAGGCTCGTCACACGGCCAACGGCACCGCCTCGGATACGCCGGCGCCCAAACTGTCCGCCGATGAGGAAGAGGACGCAATCAGCGCCGCTCCCGCCACGACTGCCACGCCCCAATCGCCTGCCAAAAGCGAGCACAGGAGGGTCCGAGTACCACCCTCTCCTCCTCACTTCCTGACGCATTCTCCCTCTTCACCTTCATCATCATCGGTCCCGGCCGGTCACCGCCGCTTCGACTGGCGCACTGTCACGGCTCCGCCGCCGCCCGGCTCGCTTCCCTCGCGGCTGAGCGCCTACGCCTCCCCTCTGCACCGGCCCATGCACAGGGAAAGGACGGCCCACCCGGGATTCGGAGCCCAGGTGCCACAAGCCGGCAACGCGTACTCGCTTCAGCACCCCCTCGGACCACACGTGGGAGACGAGGCGGGTGTCGGAGGACGGAGGAGAACGCCGCACAGCTACCGATGCGCCGGCCCCGAGCAGGAATATCGCAGGTGCTTCTCACAGGTAAGATGTCAAACCGCACCCTGTTGCCCTACCCGACGATGAACGTCTCTCAATCCAATTGTTTTGATCACACCTCATCAGTTGGCCAACGTGATGCTCTTTTCGATGTGCCGGCTTTGGCCACCCGGTGGCACTGAAAGAGTCATCAGTACGGCACTAATATCTGTTTCTCTTTGCAGAGGAGAAAGAATGTCTAACTGTAGGTACTGCTATATTGCCTGTGTGTTGTTAAAGAGGTATAGCGCTACACAGATGCTATATGGCATTAGCATTACGCCTTTCGGCACCAGATGGTTTTCAATAAATATTCAGTTCTGATGTCATTATTTCAAATGGTGGTAGTTTGAAAATGGTTCCGAGATAAAGGCAGACCGTAAATGTTGCTTGGTGCAATTTTGCTACTTTGACACTGAATGGGTTAACATAGCAGACTCAAAGACGGGGCTATCGGTTTGTTTTAAATGGCTAAGATGTATATTTGGGGTTGTTGTTGTTGTTTTAGAGAATGTTTCAATCGGGAAGGGCATGAAAATAGCTCGAAGCCTCTTTTGAACAGCAGCTCACTGTCTGCCAAAGCTACTATGACGAAGTGAGTCAAAGCAAAGCAAAGCACAGCCAAAAAAAAAAAAGTCCCTAAAATGTTTTCGTATGACGGCTCTTATCATGAAAATGTTGTCAGTCACGCCACTTGTATCTCAAGGCACCACTGTATTTGCAAAAAAAATACGACGTGACCTTTGTCTACCTTCAAGCTCCTCAACGCGCACGTGTGTGTGACCTACAGTCCCGATTACCATAAATGAGGGCAGAGTGTTGAAGGCCGGTGGCGTCCAACAGAGAACATGAAGGTCAACAGAGTGTTTTGGGAGGCTTCCATCATTCCCCAGCGCCAACACTGGCCTTGTTGTCTATGAGCACTGACATGGAACCGATGAAACGTGTGTGTGTGTGTGTGTGTGTGTGTGTGTGTGTGTGTGTGTGTGTG